GATTACAATAAAACTATAATTAGTAATAAGAACCCATCTAATAATTTTTAATAAACTATTTTTGAAAAGATCTCAGACTTGTGTGGGTTTGAGAAATGAAAATAAAAATAGTGGACTGATAAATAAGTACAAATGCATTGTAAAATTAGGATCACTTTCTTAGTTAGGCACAAGCTGCTACAACTGATTGCATATAATAAGCAGAGTATATAAAAGTAGAGAATAATAGTTAAGAATTCTAACAAAGATGTGTCACTGCCATAAATATAAATGGGATATATAATTCAGTCCTATACATGCTTACCATGTAAATTCCATTCAAGTCAGTGAAACTTGCTTCTGAGAGAATTGTTATAGGATTGCATAGCAATTTCCACATAAAATTGGATTAGGATTGCATCTTTGGCTTCACATTCATTCGTAGGAAGAAGACATGAAGCTCATGAGATAAACCTATTTTACCAACAAAGAAAAATATTTCACCTCAAAAAGCTTTGTCTATCTGGATTTAACCTGACAAGTTATGGAGAATTTGTACTTTTGCCTTAATGCAGAAAATCGAGTAAGATGGCTTTATGTAATTTTCTTTTAATCATTTCATAGATGTTTATCTGTGTTTATATAAACTGACCATTCATGTCTACCATTCATTAACATTATCTTATTTTCTTTGACAATTGCTTTTTTCCACATTAGTAAATCATTATCTTCCTATCCCAATTTTTTTAAAATTACTTTTTATTTTCCATATAGTTTGAAGAAAAAAACAGAATATATGAAACTGTTTTTTAATTTTTTTCCAAATAACTATTTCATGTTGAGAATCACATATTAATAGAAATATTTCTACTCTATCACTTCTCTATCATTGTAGAGTAGTGAAAAATGGGAAAGCCTTACGTCTATAGATAGAATGCCACAGGCATTGCATATCTTTGGCAGGTACATTATAGCAAGTTCCCTAGAATGGTTTTAGAAACTAATTGAGATGAAATATCCCAATGACCTATTAATTCATCATTTTTCTACTTAAATATGGAATTTGGTGATTACAATAGCAGTATTCTCACCTAAGATATTCAATAATGAAATTTCAGCTTCTCCAAGTCAGCCAAATATCAAGGCGACTGGAAATTCTGAAGTGTTTCACATCAGGAAATAAAGCCTTAGATATATGGTTGGTGTTTAATTTTCCAAAATGTTATTTAATATAGATTACATGAGTCATAAAAAGAGAGGTTATTCAATAGAATAGAGATGCGTGGTGAACACAAGTAGCTTAGTTTTAAATGTTATTTCTATTTTTCTATTTTCTACAAAATGTCTATTCCTTTTAATACAAGGCAGGGAGAAATCCCACATTTTTAAGAACATTTTAGTCTAAAAATATTAACATCTGCAGGCTGTGTTATACTATAATTTTATTAGCCAATAATATTCCCACCAAGGATTCATTTCCATCTTGAAAGTTCTGAAGAGGGTTATTTAACAGTGTGCCCAGATCATACACTTTTGTGTCATAAATATAAAGCCATTTCAGGCATTTCCCTATCTATATGACAAATATATTTCGATATATTTCTTATAAGGTAAGCTTTCTAGATACAAAATATATTTTGTCAGTGCTACACCCTAAAAGTTGCTACACGTGGGTTTCTGTGGGAGAAAAGGAAATGTTTCCAACATTACCAGGTAAGTAACACAACTTTTGTTCCTGCATCAGATGTCACACTGCAGTTATGTACAGTAATATTGTCATTTCCCAATGCATACGCCATTTTGACATCACAGCTTCAAACAGATGCTTATGAAACTACAGCTGCTTAATTACTCTGTTAGTTCAAGAAGATTTATTACAGTGTCATAGTCTGAAGCAACTACGACTAATCTATTTTAGTAATACTTCTTTGCATCCAACCAGATTCATGGCCAATTCACTTGCTAGAGAGTATATCTCTACTTATAATAAAGCTGTGTTTCAATTACCCACTGGAATATATTCAAGACACAACACCTTTCAAGTTTTCTTGCCGTTTTTCCTTCAGCATTTCTGAAGGGACATAAAAACTGCAAAAAATAGTTCAATGGTGCATCATGAAATTACCAGTTCCGAGTCATTCAGAGTATGCATTGCAGTTTGCATAAATTGAATTTAATAGAATGATTGCTTCCAAGGCAGTTAGCTATAAAAAAAACTATTTTATAAAGCATTGTCATTTTTGATACAGCTTTTTTTTTCCATTGCTGATATGGTAAATTCGTAGGAGTTTTTTTTTTTTAACTGAAGAAGTAGCTTCTCAGTACTAGGCATATGTGAAAATAGGTGCTGAACGTGAATACGAGGTGCTGAGCCTTTTAACTGCAGAGCTGTGGGAAGTCTCACTCCTGTACCTCATCCTATTAGTGAATAAGCATGGAACACAATTCATAAATAATATTACATCCTGCATTTTATTCAATTTCATGTGACAAAAATAGTAACCTAGACTAAGACATCCATTTCAATCAGTAGATGTATCGAGCCAACAGATTTAATAATAAAAAATATTGGATCTAGGTAACAATTCCCAGCTGGTTCAGGGAGGCTCCTAGCCCTACATGGTATCACAGTATAAAAATAAGTGTCTCTCTTCACCATGCAGAGAGGAAGGACCTAACCCTGAATACAAAGTGGGGTCAGTCTTACTGTACCTTCATCAGCCATCTTATTTACAACACTTTACATCTCTTTTTAAGATATGCACATCCTTTAGGGAAAAGAAATAACACTACATGGTACCAAACACTAAAAAATAAAGCACACCAGAAATGGACACAGATAAATAAAAACATTCATTTGCTGAAAAAACAGCAACACTAAGCAACCTCAGTTTTCTTTGTTTTCCAATTTTGAATCACTCCAAACACAAATGTTGCTCAATCATTGATAATAGAATGAGTTTTAATATACAGATGTGTGTGTATCGGTGTGCGGTATGTCTACGCACACCCACACACACACCCACATACATATTTAATAATATGTACATGTCCATATTTATATTTTATCTATCATTGCTGTAGAAAACAGAGCTGTAATAATTCATTGTTCATTTCAAAATAGTAACAAACCACTAGTAAGTCTTTTAAACTTTCCATTCAGTGATATGATGGCAGAAACAGTCCATCCTCTTATAGTAATGTTTTGTTGTGGTTGCACAAGAAAGAGATTGTCCTATTTTTTTTCCAGTCACAACTGAGAAGACCTCACTGTCTGATTCTTTCTTCAGGGGCATAAACATTGTGTGCTGTTTCCCAGCTACCCATAATGTCCCTTGAACAATTTTCTTGAACGGAGGATACTACTGTCAGATTCCACCATGCTTGTAATGCACAAAAATGAGGTAGTACACAAAACATTTACTGTTCAAGTTTTGATTATGCCCCAAGCCTCACCAGCACCCTAGTTCAGAGTGGAAACATTCCCTTTAGTCACAATTTTAAACAATGCTTTAAACACATGAAAATTATATTAGCGTATTCAGAGTACATTGTGCTTTGTAGTAAATCTTAGAATATTAAATAAAACAGATTGGGAATTTACGTACATGTTTTTAGAATGTTTTTTTTCTGTTTTGCTTTACATACCAGTGCTATTAAGCAGTCAGCATCGAGTTTGTGGGTGGGAGTGAAAGAGACAGAACCGATTACAGCAAAATTAAGCCTACACAATGTTTTCTTTACCCTCTCTTAGACTTGCACTGATATCACAGCCCTAAGATTAACATATCAAAGGTCTGTTGGAGGGTGGGCTTACAAAAAAGTTAAATGAATCATTTTGGTCTAAGAAATGGCAGGCCCCATTATATCCAAGAATCTGACAGTTCTTAGCAGTTTTTTTTTTTATTAAAAGGAGCACAGATCTTTCATACTGTTTGACCTTAAAGACAAACACAACAAACCCTTCTCCCATTTTTCCTCAAGCCAAAGTACTATTTATAAAATAGTTTACATCTTTGTTCAGATTCAAATTATAGACAAACCTCCCTAAATATAAAATACTAAAAGTGCAATAGTATAAATTAAGAGTTTGCAACCACATTATACAAACACTGCCTTTTATTGTACAGCCTTTGATAACATGAAGTGTTTTATTCACAACTGCTTATAGTGTTGTGAATAATCTACTGTAATAAGGTTTGTCTGTAACTTGTTTTTCCAACTATGAACTGAAGTTCACACTACACTTTTTCCATTTAAGAGAACAACTGTCCACATAGCAGCTACAAAGATTTAAATTAAAATGGTTTGTTACTGACAGGTACTTGCACATTGAAAGCATGCTATCTTTCCCAATAAAACTTCACAATTTTGCCTGCATCAAAATAAACCACTTATTTATAGTAAAACAAAACTTGCTTTAAAAAAAGAAGTCACATAGCCAGGTGTATTTTGCCATACAAAAGCTTCATTTAAGAATGGGGCTAGTATATTGTCTGTTACCCGCATTATCTTTACATTATAAATACTACAGACAAGAATACTGTAATCTTAGACAGCATTAGGGTACTAAATCACTTATTGAATGTTAGAAGAATTCTAAAAACAGTTCAAGTTTCTAGTTGAGTAGAAGAAAATCAGCAAAGATAGAGCTGGACTGAAATGCCATTGTGAAGCCCACTTTTACTCAACTGGTGGCATCTTTGCTTTGAAACAAAATTTGAAACAATTTGGCTTCCTTCAGTCCCTAATTGAATTATCCAATGGATTTATCATTTGCTTAAATTAAAAAGGTTCGTAAGTTCTCACTAATGGTCAGCTCACTGTTGAAGTAGTACCATGCAAATCTTGCGAGACAACTTTTCAGCAGACACAAAGTTATGTATTTCTGCTATTGATAAATCGTAAGAGTTATCTAGGCAATTAGGCCACAAAACTAAAGTTTAGTTTCCCAAACTGTACATGAAAGAACAAATGTTGTATTTGAGCAGTGGTCCAACAGTTATTTGTACTGAATGCTTTTAATTTATGCCAATCTCTTTATTATCCTCAATAAACCTCGTGAATGGACGATTGGCTCCCGTTTCAGAACTCGCTTTGTCCAAACCAATGATGGGAGGGCTACTACCAGTACGAGCTTTGTCCATTCCACTGGAAACGTTACTTAAAGACGGAATGGCACTTCCGCCTAAACTTACTGGGAGCTGGGGAATGCCTCCGTTCTGTATGACAGAAATTTCATTGTTCTTCATAGCAAGTCCATTAGTAATAGCTGCAGCATACTGGTTCCAAAAATTTGGGTCAACATTCATTGCCCGAGCTGCTAAATCCTTTTGGAACATTTCTGAAAACTTCAAAGCATCCCCACCTAACAAAGCCATGGGATTTTCCACAGACAGCCGACGCCCACGCCGTGCAGGAGCATTATTCCACATATGAGTTCCCATGTGAACCTTTAGAGGAAGAACAGATAGAAAAAAAATGGGCAAATGAGCAAAGAAATGTACACAATCTACAAAGATGCCAGACATACATTTTAAACTGGCAACAGAAAACATTCTAATTTCACAATTTAAAATGTCAAATAATGCTAAACATTAACTTTCTCCTGCGCAAGATTATTATTATTCAAGATAATTAGGCTTACTCTGTATTTCAGGGACTTTTAAAGTTCTAAACCTGTAAATCTTGTTAACTTTTTAAGAATGTGAATTTTTGCAATTCAATTATATTCATATTTACTCAGAAGCAGTAACTTCAGTTATATGAAATTTCCGGCAAGGCAACTACGCACAGATGTTGCTGCCCAATGACACAAGACCCATGACAAATAATTATAAAATAGAAAGGATAAAGCAAAGATTATTTTTGCTTGTTCTTCAAATAAATATTGATTTTATTTTTTCTCTATTTGTAATGGTCTGAATGCAAGCTTCCTGTCAGTCAAGCAGAAGGAATTTTCTGATTCAGCTCGCATGCAAGTTTTCATTTTCTCCTAAAAATTGTTCCAGATGTTCAAGGACCCTTCAGAGTATCTTTTACAGGTACTGAAGACTACTCTAATAAGTCTAAGTATCTTCTGTTTACATGAATAGACCTTTTCTCCCCAAATTATGTTACATTTGATTCATGTAAAATTGCCAGGGACTAAATATCTTAAGAAACAGTCAAATATATTTGTTACAACAACTCATTTATTTTGCACTAGTTATAAATCACTTAGATTTGGGCTAACATCAGTTACAGGGCTCCTCGATTGCCTATAATCTTATAATTACCTGGATTATGTGGAGATACAAAATGTTATAGGTCTACTTTTCACATTTCTTTAGTATAAAAAATGTATTACCCTTAAATAATAGAAAAGAAAAAAATGCCACTGTAAATATCAAGATGGCCTTTTCACTGAGCATTTGCCAATTTTGAAGGACTGCATCCCACTATATAATCTTAGTATCTGGAAAATACTACTGAAAAGACTGCTTCTCTAAGACATAATGCTATAAGAAGCTGCAATCTGAAACTTTTGCAGGAAAATTGGATGAAAATTGGTTCATAAATGTGGAGTTAAAATTATTATTATTGATTTTTTTTAGGATTCTTTTAATTATAACCATTTTTAATATTAAAACAATAATTCCAAGAGATCAAAAACCATTATTTAACAAAAGGAGGAGGAAGAAAAAAAATACATGAAAAGAGAATTTTTGCTTGATTGTTAGATGGGCAGTTATATAAATATGATAAACGAATAAGTATGAAAATTTATTTTTAGATGTATATGATGATATATATGGAATATTTAATTTTACATTGGTTTAGAATGGTGGGTTTTGGATCTGAGGCCAAATCATACTTTAGCTTGATGACGAGTGAGATTGAACTACAAGCTTGGAAATCTCTTCTCTCCCTCCACCTTCCAATGTGGGTTCAAGAGGCTTAGAAGAGTTCACATCCCTTGTTGATTAGCCTCCATCTGAATTGTCATTTGAAACTGCCAAATTGGATTGATCTTCAAATTAACTTTATGAAATTGGCTTGTTCCCATTATTCACAAATAGGATTAAATACCATTTTAGTAGTTTAAACACTAAACTGTAGTTACTAACAAGGAGGATAGGAAAAAGCATGTGAAACTCTAGCTTGCAAAAAGTCATTTATATTCAAAACAATATTTTAGCCTAACATCCAAATTCAATCCATTTCTCCTGCTCTGATTTGGACTCGAGGAAGACAAAGAGGAGGAGGAGCCAGCATCTTCTGAAACAATCAGGTTCAATATGACCCTTTATGTATTTTTAATATGAAGTTTACCTTCTTACCTTAAGATTCCCTTTTGTGGTAAAAGCTCTACCACAGATAGTGCAACCAAATGGCTTTTCACCAGTATGGGTGCGTTCATGTATCTGTAGGGCACTTGCTGAGGAGAAGGTCTTCCCACATGACTGACAGTTGTGTTGTTTTGGAGTTCGACGTGGTGGGGGTGCCAGCATAGGAGTGATGCTAGGACTCATCACTGTCTGTGGTGCAGCAGGAACCTGGATTCCAGCTGGAAGCGATGGAACCTCGCCCAATGAGATCGGCTTGCTGTGACCATTCACTTCCATTTTGATCATAGTAGGCGCAGTGCTGGTGACCAGGCTAGGAGTACTTTGGCTGGGACCTAGAGTAAAGTTGGGTTCAAATAACTGAGAAGGCAGCTCTTTTAATTTGTGTGTCAGTAAGTGCTGTTTTAAATTACCCATAGTGGAACACCCACGATGGCAGACTGTACATACAAATGGACGCTCTTTAGTATGGCTGCGGTAGTGAATTTCCAATGCACTCTTACAAGCAAAAGGCTTGCCACAGATATTACAAATGGTACTTTTAAACTTACCGCGTTCTCTGTTCAGGAACAGCAGGCTAAAAGGAACTTCTTCTTTGATGACTGGCCTCCCGGGGTTGGTGGCGGTCAGATCCAGTGCGCCTCCATTTTCAACAGTAGGTGGTGGGGGACTGTCAGATTTTTCTGTCTTTAAATGTATTTCATGTGGTTCTTCGTGGTTACTGAAGCCTGGAGACTTAGATCTAAAACTTTCACAGTTGCTATTTTCAGGAGAAAGAGCTTGCATGGATGAAGATGATTCTGACATGGCAGGACTCCCTGCACTCTGACTTTCCAGATCTCCAACAGCTGATGAGGAATCATTGCTTAAGTGGTCACTTTCCCCTGACCCATTTTCTAAAGATTTTAGATTGGTCAACTGTTGGCAGTTCATGACAGAATCAATCATTTTCATTTGATTCTCAAGAGCAGCAATGCTAGAAATTACAGATGGGGGGGAAGGTGGACACGATCCAGAATAAGGTAGAAGTGGTTTGGTGGGATCTGTTATATCATCTTTTAATTCGATGTCCTCCTCCATGGAATTTTCGTCAATATCATCATCATAGTTGCTAAGTGTCTCTGCATTCTTTTCATCAAAAGAAAGCTCTGAGTCCATAGCATCTTGGAAGCCATCTGGTAATGGTGTGTTTGGAATTTGCCCACCCATGTGCATACGAATATGCTGCTGAAGAACAACAGCATTTGTAAATTTCTTCTGACAAATGGGACATGAATGCTGTACTCTAAGTGGTGGCTTCGCTCGATGAACTCCAAAATGTGTTTTTAGATTGCCTTTTGTAGTAAATGCACGTCCACAAATTTTGCATTTAAATGGTCTTTCTCCTGTATGAGTTCTATAATGCATCTTGAGAGCACTCTGACAACTGAGCACACGGTGACAAATGACACACTGATTTGGATCTGTCATCTTCTTATCAATGTTTTCTACTAGCTGTTGCAGTTTTGAGGTTTCTGATGTTTGCATAGAGTCCAATAGACCACCAAATGGAAATTTAGCCTTGAACTGGTCAGACAATGCTGGAAGCACAGTGTTTGGGAGGCTTGTAGAAATACTGCTTTCAGTAACAGCACTGGAGGCTGTAGATGTGGGTACTACAGAAACCTGACCACTTATAGAAATATCTCCTAGCCTTGCATTTGTTACTGGAATATTGACAGGTTCAGTTTTAGTCATGGTTGAACTACCATGAATTGGTTGTGGGGATTCTGCAGAAAAAGGGATGCCGGACTCAGAATTGTTTAGGCTTGGGGATAAAGAAGTGCATTCACTTGACACGGGGGATGTTCTCTGGGGCGATCTGTTCATGGGAGTAATACTTGGGGAATCCCCATAACTGTTTACCCCTGGTATTGTAGGGGGAAGTTGCAGACTAATTGAAGTCGGGACAGTTGATAAAACGGGCTTGCTATCCAGCCACGTAGTAACTGGTTTTTCAGGTGGCAATGACATCCCATATGGAATTCCGGAACAAGTAGGAACATTGTCGAGGTACTCTGGAACTGGATATGGATTCATCTGAATGTGTGGATACTTTTCTTTATGTCTCTGAAAATGAACTTTCAGATTGCCTTTTGTAGAAAACCGATTGCCACAAATGTTACACTTAAAAGGTCTTTCTCCTGTGTGTGAACGCAGGTGAATCTGTAGAGCGCTATCACTCCCAAAAACCTTGGCACAAAATCTACATTTATGTTTAAAAAAAGGATCCTCAGAACTTGTCTTAGGCTCAAAAACGGATACATTTGGTGGCTTTCCTTTGCGATGCTTCATAAGAGCAGAGAGAGGATCCAATGCATTAGCTGTTGCAGCAATGCTAACCAGTGGATTGGGGAAAATTACACTACTGGATGAAGTCTGAGGTAGAAGTGGGTTTGGCAGGCTGGAAGTTGAGGCGAGGAGATTTCCAGGTCCTACTGAAGGTGAAGTTGAAGGGTTTGGGGGCTGTGAAGAGCTGCTAGTAATATTTGACACAGAAACTGGTGTT